GTGTGAGTTAGGGTGAGTTGGGGTGAGTTAGACAGAGAGCAGCGAGTCTTAAATGACTGGATGTGGCTTTTGTGCTCATGTTGTTATGACAGATTGGTTACTACTTTATTAGTGCTCATTATTATGTTATGTGGGAGTAACAGGCCTGAAACAAATAACACACAACTGTTCAGCACTGGCAGTTTAGTGTGACCGAAAACAGCAGATTTATTACAGAGTAACAGATCAACGCCTTCACTGGAGCTTCAGCTGGATGTTAGGGTTATTACAGATATTTCAGCAGTTGTTATAATCGCGATGATCGTTAATGTTGATCTTCTGGTGTCTGAATAGACATCTCAGGAATGACAGCAGCTATTTCGAATGCTGTTTTTAATGGCTATTATTCCGCCGTCCTGCAGGTTAAATTGAGACGTGAATATAAAGAGACGCATTTATTGGCATGATGATGATGATGATGATGATGATGATGATGATGATGATGATGATGATGATGATGATGATGATGATGATGATGATGATGATGATGATGATGATGATGATGATGATGATGATGATGATGAGTGTCTGCTGTAGCAGCAGATGTTAATGCGCGCGTCACACTGCAGCTGCACGCGCCGATGCTAAGCTAACTAGCGCGCTGTCGATGTTTCCACTCAAATAAACGCGCACGCACTCGTTCACCAGACACAATAAACCCTTAATAACACACACACACACACAGATCACAGCTAGCGAAGCAGCAGGCCGTTATCAGCCGCAAACAGCAGCAGCGAAGCGACTAGCGATACCTTTCTGCGACAGCTTCAGCTCTCCGTTCTCCTTCTTCACACTGAGGTGATTTTCAGCCGCCAGTTTGTGTTTCTTCCTCTCTTTCTCTCTCTCTTTGCCCTTCTCTTTCTCTTTCTCTCGGTCTCGGTCTTTCTCGGTTTTGGTTTTCTTGTTTTTCGGCTTGCTGCTGTAATTCTGCTGCTCCGTGCCTCCGTTCATCTTCTTGGCTTTAAATATTTTCTCTTCGTGTCGGATTTTCTTGGCCGGTGGAGGATGATGGTGGCGCTCCCGGGTCTGGGACGCTGGTTTCGGTTCGGTGGGTTTGTTGAGCTGAATGAACTCCGCCATCTTTTCTCTATTTATTCTCTCGAGCTGCTGCTGTTTGTGTAAGAAGACGCACGGGAGGGGCGTGGCCTGGCGCTGATTGACCGATAAAGCAGCCTTGAAATGGGCGTGGCCAGACGCGGACTGACAGCAGGAAAGGTGACGTCAGCAACTTGGTCGCTGTATTCATTTGATTATGATGCATGAGCTCATTTACTATCTTGATGTTTTTCCAAATTTTGATGATACTCGATGCATCAATATTTTTGCTCTGACAAATGTAAAAAGGTGATTTTTGTTGCCTCTCATGAAAAAGACATGATCTGGATAGAACAGCACATTGTTTAATAACCCTAACCCAAAATAATGATAATCTACACATGGTGACCACTAACTGCTTAATACTACATGAGCACAAAAAAATTTAAATCACATTTACTTAAAGGTACAAGCATACATACGTGTGTGTGTGTGTGTGTGAAAGGAATATGAAATGAAATATAAAACTATCAAAGTTATACAAAAAGAGCAATCTTCCTACAAAAGGAACGACTGCATGTGCTTCTTTGAAGAACAAAAGAAAAACATGAAGAACAAAGAAACACAAGCAGAATACGGAATAAATGCAGTAATATATTTACACTCCAAGCAGATCTTTTCTCATGTGTGATTATCACGGTCAATCATCACGTTTTCAGATTCAATCTCACATTTATAGGGTCAGTTAGTAGGAGTTAGGGCGAGTTAGTAGGAGTTAGGGTGAGTTAGTAGGCGTTAGGGTCAGTTAGGGTGAGTTAGTAGAAGTTAGGGCGAGTTAGTAGGAGTTAGGGTCAGTTAGTAGGCGTTAGGGTCAGTTAGTAGGAGTTAGGGTCAGTTAGGGCTAGGTAAGCATCTGTAGGACAGGCAGCCAACAGTGCGTCTTTAATGAATGAATATGGCTTTTGTGCTGTTTTCATAACAGTTGTGTTATGACAGATGGGTTACTACTTTATTAGTGTTTATTAATGTCATGTGGGAGTAACAGGCCTGACACAAACAGTAAATAACACACAACAGTTCAACACAGTGAAGCTCACAGTATAACTCGGAGAACAGCATATTTATTACAGAGCAACAGAAGATCGCTGTACATGACTGTCTCGTGTTCTCCAATCACCGAGCGAGTGTTATTACTGAGACTCCAGCAGTAATACAGCAGTTATTATAATCGTGATCTTCTGGTGTCCGTTAGGCATCTCAGGAACGACAGAAGATATTTAGATTACTGTTTTTATTAGTACGAGCTATTATTCTGCCGTCCTACAGACTAATTTAACACTTGAATATAAAAACACGCATTTATTATAGGATATGATGATGTTTGCCGATGTCTCTGTGCGGTAACACAGATATCGTCCTCTTTTGG